ATCTGAAAAGCATTCAGATATTATGGGGATTATGATAATATATATCTCTAGAGACACTAACTGATAGCTATTAAGAAAAGTACATTCAATGAGATATACTGCAAATCATTATGAATATTCAATTACAATCAAACTGAAATGACAGAAAGCACTGGGGGACTCTGGATTTGAATCTGAAAAGACAATTGAAAGGAAAGAAAAGGAACACATAGAGAGAGGTAATAAACTTGATCTCATAAAAAAATCCAGAGAATATTAAGTACGCTTTTCACCCATGATATGGATAAAATCAGACAACATGATCTGAAACGTCTTAATATGCTTAAAAATATTCTCCCTCAACTTTTGCTGTTTACCCTGGGAACGGATGGCTGTTTGCTTGCCTAGAGATGTCCAGTACCTTTTAGGAGGGAAATAGGTATGGACAGACAGTAGGAATTACTGTAGGAATTGTGCATCAGCCATCTGACTGTTTTAATTTGTGGCAAATGTTTTAGTGTGGCTGAATTAAATGAATACTGAAAAGAGAAATAAGGTGTACCAGTAGCTTAGGAAAGAGGCAAGCCTGATCAGATCAATGGGAAATAGACATATGAATATCATAGCAATGCTACTGAAGAATATTAAGTAAAAAAACCAAAACACTCCAACTTGCAAATCATTAGTAAGTTTTAGAAACTTTCCACTTCTAGTGGAAAAAATAGTGTTAAAAATATCAACATTTTGCTCATTGGTCCATTACATTTATTTAAGCAGGTTTGTAGAATTCTAACCCATTTTCATGTACATTGGATATATGAAATACGTGTTCTACTCAGTAAAAGGTGGCGATATGATTTTCATTGGCAGACTGATAATTATGATGAAAAAATTGTGAAGCATCTAATGAAGGATTATTCTGCCTGAGGAGCAGATATTGCCCGTGTTTTCTCCTCCATTCTTTGTTCGCTCATCTTTTTAATCTTAGAGACATCTTTCAGTGAAAAGAGCCTAAAAAACAGAAAAGGGTAGGAAATATGATTACACTACAAGCTAATATTGGATCTATTTCTTCGTTTTTGGCTATTTCAGGTTTTGGACATTCATAAACAGATGTAGATGCACGTGAACATTTGTTCAGTGATAATGTCACAAAACAGGAAAATAATCTGTGCCTAGCTTTTTAGAAAGCTACAAACAAACTGTGTGGCTTTATCTGTAGAACCTTTCTCCACCTCCCCCCCAAAAAATAAATTGAAAATATAGCCTACGGCTTCTAAATGAGATGAAATCCCTTGAAAAATTGCTAGCAAATCTGCAGGAATACATATTCAGATGCTGCATAATGTTTGGTACTCCATTTCTAGATATAATAAAGCATCTATCTGTAAAAATAAATTTAAAAAGACAAAAAAATAATTTCTCAGAAAAAGAAGCTAAAAAGGTCCCTGAAATCAACTTCAGATGGTACTATTATTCAGATGATATAATCAACTTAAATGAGCTTATTAACATATATAAATATCTGAGAGGTAGGTGTCAAGAGGAAAGGGACAATCTCTTCTCAGTGGTGCCCAGTAATAGAACAAGAAATAATGGGTTTAAGTTAGAACATAGGAAGTTCCACCTCAACATGAGGAGAAACCTGTTTGCTATGAGGGTGACAGAGCCCTGGCACAGGCTGCCCAGAGAGGGTGTGGAGTCTCCTTCTCTGGAGACTTTCAAACCCATCTGACGCGTTCCTGTGTGGCTGCCCTAGGGGATCTTGCTCTGGCAGGGGGGGTTGGACTAGATGATCTCTAGAGAGAACATGCCTAGCTAAACTGAAGCACAGAACTGTACCTGGAATTCTATAATTGCCATTTTTGGTCCACAGGACAGGCTTTTGCACTTATGCAAGCGTTAAGAAAATGGATTTGTTTCATCTACTGGAATTGTCTGGGTTTGATGGGGTTGTTTTCTGGATTTTCTACAGAGAAACTGAGCATAGTTGATCATCTCTCTGTTGCTTCTTCCCAATGAATTCTGAATAGTATCAACAGAAAACACTGTGTGATCAGGAGCATGTAAGTAAAGGTATACCAATCTAACCACTGTTAACCATTGCTGGCAATCACTGAGTACACTTCCTTTTCCACGAATCCCTGTACAGTTAAATCCAATATATAAAGCAAACAGTGAATATCACAGCTTCGAGTCCTCATTTCCTAATTTCTGTGTTAACAAAACACTTTTACTCTATCATTCTGCAGTGTATGTTTGTGCTTTCTGGCTGTATACAATATCCTACTTATTTTGATTTCTTCAAATACCATCACATAACTGTTCAAATCACAAATATCAACTACACAGTTAAACTACACTCCAACCAAATAAATTTCATCAAGAACAATGTAAGACTTACTGAGAAGGTATGTTGCCTGACTGCTCATAAAGCCATCTGGAAAAACATCATCATTTTTTACTGAGACTAGTCATTTGAAAGCTTGGCTTAGCTAAAAAGGACTCTGTCTTCCTCATGCACTCCTCGTACTTAAATCAACCCTCTAACTACCAGTTTCCAATTACTTAACTGCGGAAAGCTATACAAAAGTAAATATGCGCACATTCTTTGTTGGCATTAACTTAAACTTAATAAGCTTTTTCCTTCTGTCTCTTCAATTAATTTTTAATTCTTTTTAGTCTAGTAAGCCTTTTCTCTACCTCCTCACCCCCTTATCTGCAATCTTACAATTTCTGATTGTCTCCTGAGCTTCTTGGAAAGAAAATGAATGTGGTATATTTCAAGATTTGTCATATCTGTTGCAGGATGAAAGATATATAGTGGAAAAGAGACATAGCCTGGAAGTATCAGAAAGATATTGAACAAAACCAGATTCTGCTTTTCATAGCAGATATTTTACAAATATTGGATTGCTTTAATCTGAGACTGATTTAAAGCCCTGTTTAGGATTGATAGCTCACCTAATGACACATTCGCATATTATTGCATATCGTGTTTATAGGAAGAGCTCAAGTCTCTCAACATTTGCAGCTCTTTCTAAGAACTCAGTCACCCCTATGGATTTAGAAAGCCATGCAAGCACAGCCTCAGCCTGTACATACAGTCTTGGGGAACAAAAAAGGTCTAAGGAAACTCACCACAAATTACTCTGATGTATACTGTGTAGTCTCTTCTCTCCAGTATGGTGACTGAGTCTGTCGTTGCTCTCATTTTATTCCCTTTAACTTGAATTTACTTTGCACTTCAAAAATTTGACCTCTGCTTCCCCCCTTATTAACTTTTTTTTTTTCTTTGAAGAGTACTACAGAAGTCTCTCCATGTCCTCCTTCAGCTCTAATACAATTTAAACAAGAAATTATTGTGATCTGGCTTTAGACAATGCAGGATCTGTTGCAGATCTATACCAAATATTTTTCCTTTACCTTTTCAAGGCAAATCAAGCAAGGACTGAAACATGTGTTTTATCTTTTGCTTCCATTTTCCTTGTATTCGAGAGTCCTCTCAGAGTCCTTTATTGCTTTTGTTACTACCATACTTGTGCAATATGAAACAAATGAAGAAACTTCCTACGTGCTGCTAAAAAAGATTTAAGAATAACAATGTGAAATAATGCTAAAAGAAACTGTTCAGTGCTAGTGAACACACACAGTAGGATTTTGAAAATGTTTTACAGAATCTGGTATTTTATTTCATCTTTCAATAATTGCTATATATTTTGTTTCCTTGATACATGACTCTGGAATGGGGAAGTCATATCTGGAAATGAACATCATCTTGGAAACACATTAATGTAATCTTTTTCTAATATTCTTATTACAATCTTAGTAATTTTAATTTTGTGGGCTAATAAAACTCCTACAAAGTTCAGACATTCTCTAATTCACTAATACCAGAACTGATTCAGAGAAGTCCAAAACCCTTCTGAAAACTGACTTGGTCACTTAAGTCTCTTACATAAATATATGGCTCTCCTGTGCTAGAGACCATACGAAATAATGGAAGAATCTGTTGAACCTTCCTTTTCTTTTTAAGTCCTCACTGCAGTTTCTGTGAACAGTGCTGGACATAGACATGTCCCACAGATTGTAACAGGAAAAATGGGGTTATCCATGGCAAAATTTTCTTCATGACATTATGTCGACTGTGCAAAGTTGATAAACCCCTTCCCAGTTTTAATTACAGAAGATAGAATTACCTGCATTGTAAGCATTAAGTTAGTAACTCCTTTTTAATTAATTTCTAACATTTCACAGCTCCATTAGAAAGGCTTGCAGATGTAATTAGGTCAGATAAAACACTGAATATACTTGGATATACTTGGATGAAATGCAAGAATTTGACCAAAGACACAAACATCTTCTCTGTTACGAGCTATATTTGTTAAGACAAACAAGTCAATAGTGGCTGTAATTCAAACAGTAAACTACATGAAATACAGTGTATTAACTGGGCCAGGATGATTATTTACATCCTTTGGATTCAGACTTCTGTTTCCACGAATTCTGGCTGACTCTTAGACTATGAAGCACTTGCTTCATGTCTGATCTATTTTGATATTTAGCTCTGTTGAAATAACTAAAGTTGAAATAAACTTTTTTACAGTGTTGAAATATAAATAGTGTTTCCAAGTCAGAACACTGCAGTTCATACAGTTCAAATTTCATGACTTTATCACTTTTCTTGGTTTTGCTCGACTTGTGAAAAAGTAGCCCCTTTTATTGTACTTCCTTTCCTTAATCTCTGGCAGTTTCTCTGGTGAACATTAGTGACTTTTACCTTATCTCTCTAAAATACTTTCACCACAAGCACTTCTGTTTGCTTTCAGAAGTGGAAGAACTGCAAAACCATCACACCAGAGACTCTAAGAGGAAGAAATCAGTGGAAATCCAGCCTTTTAGTCTCTGCTGTTGTGATCATTAATCACTTTTCCTTACAATGAGAGGGAAAAAAAAAAAAAAGCAGTTCTCAGATTAATTTCAGTAGTAAATGCTAAACAAGCATTAAGAAATGCACTTACTTCTCTCTGTTGAATATGATGAATTCTTTCCTAACGGTTTCCAAGCACTGCTGCAGGTGTACATTCTTTAAAAAACAGGATGAATAGGTTGATTTAAAAAGATGGAAAATTATAGACAAAAATCACAACAACAGAAATGACACTGAATGAAAAGGCTTATGAATGAACACTATGGAAAGACATTTTGAAGACTTTTCAAAAGTGGATTGTGATAGCACAAAAAATCTTTCTCTCTTTGGAAGAAGCTTCCCACCAAAAAATCCTGAAGATGTTTATCTCTGACAGCCCTAGGAACAGCTTGTGTGAGCATACAAAATCATTAGGAGTAGCAACAGAATTTATGAAATCCTCACTGAAATGAAAATTAAAGTCTGGAAAATGATTATTTTTTAATCTTCTCAGAAGTGCAGACTGTTTATACAATGAAACTTTCTATAAGGGACACATTAGTCAAGACTGCAAGAGACAGCTTTAAAACATTTATAAATAACAAGATGTTCACTGCATTCCTTTCATTTCTGGTACTAGCAGTAGATAAATACTACTTGTAACTATCTGCCCGTGTGTGGGAAGCATATTTGCCAACTGGCAGCACTTTTTCATACTTTAAATGAGCATCTGTGAGAATCTTAAAAATTATTACAAGCTAAACCTACTGTTACTATTTGACTGAAATAGATGGTTGCTTTTCATCTTGCATTGGAGATGGTTTATCTATACGTGAAATGAGGGACATAGAGGTCAAAGCTGTTTTCAGAGATGATAAAGCTGATCTTAATTGAGTTTGTCTGTTAGAGAATGTAAATGAAATGTCACTGACCACAGGCCCAGACTCCAACTTACCAGTGGGCAAGTTTCCTTAGCTCCATCTTTGGATTTGTTTTTGGCAAGTCGCTTTTTCTTTTTATGGAGAGGCTTGGACTCTAAAATCATTTCTTCAAGTTCAAATGTAGGATCACAGTTCAGTCTTCCTTTCTGGTACAAAAGGATTCACAGTTACTCTTTGAAGCTTCATTGTAGTTTTTTAGATTGCCTGGCAAATGTTAATAGCATTAATAATCAAGTTTCCCAACCACATCTGCAAAATGAAAACAGACTTTTTAGGGCTGGGGTGCTTGAAGTTTAAATAAGGAAGGTAAGATAAAAATCATATTATAAAGCAATTAAAAACCATTAGATCCTCTTCCTAGATGCCTAGAGATATACTCGTAAAGTGACCTAATGAGAGAAATTAGTCTGGCCCGTGGTCTTCATCAGAATATTAACTAATGCCGTAGAACATAAATGGCAACTGTAATAGTGAAGGAGGGATGGAAGATGGTATCTCTATGACCTTATTTGCTAAAATCTGGTTTTGCTGAAGAGTTGCAGGTGGATTCAGTTACCTAGCTCCTGTTCATGATAGCAAAGGGAGGAGCAAGCCTTTTTTGTTAGAAGCATTTATATATAAAAAGAAATGGTTCCATTATATTTTTCCTAACCCATTACTTAAATATTCTGAATTCTCCATTTTTATGTTAATTTGTGATACTTGAACCAAATTTTAAGGTTCTTTGTTTTATCAGGAAGTTTTTTTAAGTAAGATGATTAGAAACACCTTTTCTTTTCTATATGGTTGTTTTCCTTGCTTGATTCTTTTCAGATTTTTCCTTGATTATTTTCAGATTCTACCTTAATTCTTTTCAAGTTCCTGATTATTTCAGATCTTTTAAGCATAAAAGTATACATTCCTTGAGGACTTTTAAAATTCTATCGATTGGTGCAGTAAAGCCGTCTCATGGTAGCATTTGGGATGAACTGTTCCTCTCCTATCTGGGGATGAGATCTAGGGTATGGCCAGGAAATCTATAGTTGAGCTGAACGCAATACATTTTTAAAAAGTCATTACTTGGCTTCCTAATAACTGGATCAGTGTTTTTCTACTTCTGTAATCAGAATAACATGAGCTCCTTTCTTATCCTTATTCTCTCAAAGCATTTAAACAAAAATTTGCAAACAATTCGAATTCTGTGGTGGAAGATCTTAAAAGCAGCCTGTTTCCCACTGGGAATTCAGTCTCGTTGTTGCTGTGAAGGTAAGTCACATGTAAATGACAGACATTATTTAGCAACCGAAGACACTATGCACTAAAATCACGTCAGAATCCACTTGTATAACTTGTAGTGTCCTACAGTGAAACATTTGATTTAGAGATCACTCCATCATTTTTATTTCTAGCAAAGTCTATAGAGTCAAAGTATAAATAATCTCTCTGATGCCTTGTCCTGCATACTATCCGGTCAGGTTTAATAATGTTTATTTATTTTTTTTTATTAATTGAGGTTTATAGCTCACTTATATTTCTTTATAAATAAATGTTTATGTTTTAGCAATATCAGTTCCTTTCCTAAGCATATACAGTTTTAAGATTTGTTTGAGCACTTAAAGTATATCACTTTAATTCTATAGGTTTAAAAATGAGAGAAAATTACATTGAAATAATTATTGTTTTCTTTATCAAATATTTAACACAAATATTTAACAATAAAAAAGCCTACTAATAATTTATGACTCCAAGCTGAATATAAAGAAACTAGATAAATCATAAAGAAATGGGCGTACTAGTTAAGGAAGAAGGATGTCTATGGGATCAATTTTCAGAAAGATAAATTTAATGATGAGACCTTCCTAACACAAGTCTCCCACCTGCGCTGTTGCCTGCAGAAGACAGGCAAGCTCCTGACAGTAACGGCAAGTTGTCAACAAGTTATAAAACTCTAGTTATAAAATTCTTCCCGGATCACAGTACGTGTTTGCCTTAATTCACCATCTCACCAAGGCCTGAAAACCAAGAAATATTTTGTTGTGTGGCCCTAGTTAACCAATCAAGGTTTTGCTGGTGCAACAGAGAGCTAAATTCTAGGAAAATGCCTTGCCAAGCTTGGTCTCATAAAACAGTTTACTATAAAAAGAATTGTTGTGCTAGAAAAGAAACTTTGGCTCTCTTCTTCTTGTTATTTTTCCTAACACACCTGATCAACCAGGTGGAACAAGCTCTGCAATATCAGCTTCTGTCCTGAAGTGTCTGCTAGACCTTGTAATGGGACTTTCAGATTAATCTGAGCAGATAAAAGTAAACTTTTACTCCTATTTCCTTTTAAGCATAGAAAAATATTTTGCCTTCATTATTACAGATTCCCCTCCAATATTACAGATCACACAGATAAGGTGAATCCAGATGTGAAAAGAATAGCTGTCTTTGGATGCATATTTAGTGGCAGACAGTTCAAAGTATTTCAAGAGGACTTCCTCCTTTCTCTCCATCACTTTCACCATTGTCAACATCAGCCACATAGGTAGGCTAATAGAGCAGCACAAGATACATAAATTCCACAGTTGCTTCTGAAATTACATTTAAAATTGCTTTTTTCACCATTCTTAAGAAGTCAGGAAATTTATCTATACTCTCTCAGGAGTAAAGTACCCTCAAAACAAACTAAATCCAAGTGGAAAGAAGTAAACAGCCACATGAGATGATGAAGGGAGTGGAATATCTCCCTTATGAGGAAAGGCTGAGGGAGCTGGGTCTCTTCAGATTGGAGAGGAGAAGGCTGAGGGATAATCTCATAAATGTTTATAAATATGTCAAGGGGGAGTGTCAGGAGGATGGAGCCAGGCTCTTCTCAGTGATGTCCAATGACAGGACAAGGGGCAATGGGTGCAAGCTGGAACATAGGAGGTTCCACAAAAACATTAGGGAAAAACTTTTTCACTGTGAGGGTGACAGAGCCCTGGCACAGGCTGCCCAGGGAGGTTGTAGAGTCTCCTTCTCTGGAGACATTGAAAACCTGCCTGGACGCTTTCCTGTGCAATCTACTGTAGGTGATCCTGCTCTGGCAGGGGGGCTGGACTAGATGATCTTTTGAGGTCCCTTCCAGCCCCTAAAATTCTGTGATTCTGTGATAAGAACTGTGAATTAAGGAGTCAGGGTTATTTGGTGGCCAGATGCAGACCATGACATAAGGGTTTTACTCCAGCTCTGGATAGGCTGGGCATAAGCCAGATGGATGTGGAAAACTTGCAGTCCCTTCATTAGGTTCTATTACTACAGCCAAGCTGCTGCACCTCACTGCTTAGGAGACAGGCTTAGCAGGGTGACACCCATTGCTTTAGTTAGCTATACACTCCTGGACCAAGCTTGCTTCAGTACAGTCCTCAGGAGCCGGATTAAAATGGAAGGTATGGCCCTGTTCAAGCTCAAGTGGGAGCAAAGAGACAGAGGGGAAAGGAAAACACTGGAGTAGCAAGAGGAGCAGAGAACCAGGTTTGCCATAGGCAGGTCTCAGTAGCCATTTTTGCTGAAGCAGGCTGAAGACTTCCCTCTTAACTTGAAGTCCTAAGAGATGTCGCCAGGTACAACCGGGCTTTGTGGAGTCAAGGGCTCTCTGGATTCCCGTGTATGTTGTACAGTTGAGTATGGGAACTCAGTACCTCTTTTAAAATACAAAGCGGGGTCATGAAGTTTCCTGCATGTTGACAATTGCGGATTAAACTTTCAGCTAGAAACAGAAGGTCTAAATAATCTGTTCAGTTCTGTCTAAGAAGGGGTCAGCTCATACCTCTGATAGAGAGCAGCTCAAACTAGAAAAAAAGGAAAAGAGGAAAAGCAGTCTCTATTCATCTTGTAGATCCACAGCATCATGGAGAATGGAGTCCACAATCCACCTGGCCAGGGAGGAGCTTTGTTCAGCAGTGCTTTGAGCAGGATAGCAACCTGGGAGAGCTTAGGGGAAGGAGCTGGCACGGCACAGCTATTACTCCAGCTGCAAGGACACTAAGAGTGAAGGAGTCCTAGCCTTGGTTTGGTAGATAGGACATTCACTTCCTGAGCTTTCAGCTTGCACCGCCCTTGAGCTACAATGTGAAAGGAAGGAATTTCACCCCTGGTGAAGAGGGAGGTCGCTTTTCTCTCCACCTGTTGTGCTAGTTACCTGCTGTATTTCTGGTCTTTCCCCAAGATCCCTGAGGAAAGCCCTGATTGTCCACCCATAACTTTCTTCTCCTGCAGGATGTTGCATCCAGGAAAGGCTCCAGTTAGGTGCCAAGAAGAACAATGAACACTGCCAGCAACATTTTGGCAACCCACCCTTCTTCCTTTGCTCCATTAGGCAATGCTTTTTCACCTTCAGCTTCTGTAGGTCTGGATTTTGTCCCCATCAGATTTAGCAAGAACTCTAATGTGCTCCTGAATGAGGACAGGGTCTAGCTACTCCCTCTTTCTCGTCTCTATTTACAGTTCCATAAAAAAACCAAACAAAAAACAATTAAAAATAGATTATAAACAAAACTTAGTATGCTGCAAATGCGTTATCTGAAGGAGAATTATGGCGCGATAGAAGTGAACAAAGTGGAGAAGCATGTTAACAACGCAGTCATTCCTTTTGATTCATGGCCCCCAAATGCATTTAACTTACAAATTACCAAAATGAAAATATCAACAAAATGGCACCACAGTAAAAACTAAAACCACCAGATTTCCCCACAAAATCTGAATATTTTAATGTAGAAAACTGTGACAAAAGAAATAGGTCAGTCTTTTGAACAATATTCTTTAAGCGATATACGAACAGCCCACAGGGATGTTAAAAAGTCTTGAAAATGTTATACAAATGCCTAACTTTCAGAGCAGCAACTTGGTATTCTTGATATTCTTTGACTCAGAGTTATCTCTGGTAATTTTTTTCTATAACAGCTGAAATGCAAAGTCTGGAAAATGTTTTTTATTTGAAAGGAACAAAAAGGGAATCAAGGTTAATGAGTTTTTGTTGTGATCTAGTGAAATGGGCCATATTTTCCCTTAACTATGTCTGAGTAAATGAAAGTGGAATCCAAAGTAAAGCTTCTGTGAGCGGTAAATCACTGAAGAGCTATAAATGCAAGCGTAAACAAATAAAACAGCAATGATCATTAAACTCAGAATTTGCAAATGTGGTTCACCTGGAATATCGACTTACATTAGGAACAAAGCCTGGAGTCACAGCTTTCTCTAGAACAGCATCCCAATTGACATCAGCTAGGTATGGAGAGCTTTGGATGTCTGCAAGGCTTGAAAGACGGCACTCCGGGTCCCTAGTGAGGAGCTGTGATCAAGCACAAGGCATTTCCTAAGGGACTGGATGCCATACGCATATCACACAAACAACTTATATGATACACAATCCTGACTAAGAAAATACCTAGGGGATCTTTTAACAACTCCTAGAAGTCACAATATAAAAAAATAAAAGTAATAACTCGTAGGATATGAATATAATTTAATTGCCACCAGATGGCTGTTGCAGGCATGAAGTGTATAATTAAGTAACAGAAGTCTGTTTACTAATACACAAGAGTCCGAACGACATGAAACATCGAAGTTCAACGCCACCTAACAATTTGTATTTCATCTTTAATTTATTGGAAGATATAGTTACACTGAGCATCCTAGCAGCAATTAAAATTAACCACCTCATTCCTCCATCTATCAAAAATAGATTGCTCATTGCTGCAAAGGAAATTATCTTGCATTGCTCTGTTCACACTTTCCTGCTCAAATATCAACACTGATGGTCTGAAATACCTAAAAGAGTCAGATGAGCCTTGCAGCACGGCCAGAACATTAAACCAAGCAATTGAGATTTGAGGAAGAAAGTGAGTTCCAGGGTCGTGATGCATTCAAAAAGAACACTGTCTTGTAGCTTTATATTTACAGCAAAGTGTCTTGGCTGTTGTTATAACTATAGCAGTATGAGACAGGGAAAGATACAGCCCTTTTCTAACTTCCCTGGCTGGAAACTGTGGCAGAAATACAGGCGGCAGAGTGGTCCTTCCTTCCCCTTTCCCACATGCACAACCAGTACTGAAGAGAATAGGCCAGGGCACAGGGTGGGAATTGCTGACCACTAGTGTTTCGCTATCACTAGTGAATCAGTGCTAAACCAAACAAAAATATTAGATTTCTATTTCTTTGAGACTATGAAAATCCTAAGTCTAAGCCTAAGAATAATCCAAATTCTCAAGAAAAAATATTGCATCACTCATATTCAGAAAAGTATAGGAATAAACACTGCTTTCTTATCTTTGAAATTTGACTACCTGAGATGTGTGGTTGCCTGATGCCTCTGCATTGCTGAAGGGCCTTCTGGATGTGGAGAGAAGAGAGAACAGAAAGTGTTTGTCTTTCTTACCTTTTTCAGTAGTGCTATCATGCCCTTGCACCATGTAGATGAGTAGTGAACTCTTTCTATCTTGAACATGTTGAGTATCTCATCGATGGGGGTGGCTGAATGAATTTCATAGGGCCTCTGGGACAAAGTTAAATCAATACCAAGTCAGTAAGAATGGATAAAAGAGTGTAGACAATTAAAATTTTCCTGAGCTTGGTATTATTTATGCTGGAAATATCAAAAGCACCAAAACATCTTATAACAATGTTGAGGCTAATCCTTCTTTGTATGTATGCTTTTCTTTAGTCATAATGAATATAATTACTCATAGATGCATTTCCTCTGCAATTTTTTTCCACTCATGAGAAGAAGTATCAGTTCAAATGAGATGGCTGAATAATTTTGTTCCTGGGGCATTCTATGCAAAATGTGGATTATTTACTATCTTTTACTTGTAGTACTAGAATGTACTTGTTATCTAAACTGACAACATGGAAAAGTGGTGGCTGAAGGGAGATTTGTCATCCTGATTTTACTGAGTAGTAGGAAGATAAATTAAAAAATCCTTATAGAAATATGTAAGAACTCCAGTAAAAGAGGAAATTCTCCAAATCTTTTTCCTTTTCCCTTTTTGAAATATAAAATTAACTCATTACATGGACCTTGTGGATTATATGGACCTGCCGTGCTGTGTTTGTGCCTAAGTTCTTTTGTAGGTGAAGAGAAGCCATATGCTTCACAGTGTTTTGCTCAAGAAGACTGCTGTGATTTATCTTTTATTAAATTTAGCATTTGGAAATTAAGGTGCTACATATAAATTTATATTCTTATTAATTATTGTGCATATATTTTTTAAAGACTTGTATTTGTGAAGCAAGCTGCTAGAATGATATTCTATGTTGATGTATTTTTCTAAACAAGGATAAAGCGTGGATTGCTTGTGAACTAAGTTGTACCCAGTAGTTGACAAATACATGATATGAGACCTGCAGCTAAATGCCATCACAGCAGCAACGTGCGAACTGATGCATCGTAATTCATACACAACATAGAGTTATCTTCTAATCTAACGTCCTCAACAGCAAAGGGCAGACACTTGTTACCTTCACTAAACTGAATTATCCCTTAACTTTTGCTAGCATCTATTGGTACAAGATTATTAACTGAGAATATGTGTAGCTGTTAGTTATCTAATCTAATAGTGAATCGGAGCCATTTTTGAAAAAGGACTGGAAGATATTCTTATTTTGAGAAGATTGCACATGCTTAACTTTGAACATACATATGAAACTAAGTCAGTTCCAAGACATTGGAAGGCTTGTTCTAAAAATAAATCCAAGGATTTCTTAAATTGTTTTGCTTTGATTCACATTCATTTAGTCTGTTGTTGTTTAGCTATATCACATCCATATGAATTCAAAAGGACCTAAGCACTGCTCTAAATATATAATTTTCTTGAATTAGGTTCAAAATTGTAATTTGAAATAGTCCATTATATGCTTTTCCCTAGTTGTGGTAAAGCTGCTGTAACAGCTACTAAAAATTAAATTTCTGACTGTTGTCAAGAGGTAACCCACTACTGATTTAGGTTCGATGTAACAATGTAATCAATATGATCATTGAATCCGAATTGTGACTTAGCACTAAAAATAGAAACTTTAAGGAATAATGAATCATTGAAAGTTCTTCTGTTAAAGGTGTTTCTGGTCATGCCTTTTTTTTTCACTGGAAAATCCTTAAAAACTCATCTTATTTTAAGGATAATTTACATTCTACAGTCTTGACTTTTTGAGATTTTGCAGGGAGTTTTATATTGTTATTAGTAAATTTGAACTATAAATGGCCATTGTAAGCTTGGTCTTTTGAAAACGAAAACAAAATTGGTTTGCTTTTGTTCATGGTGTTTAAACAATGCTTGCTGTAATATGTTTATGTTGCAGTGAAAATCAGAGTCCAAGAATCCCACCTACTATGTCTTTCCTTCACTTCATCTCTGTTGAGGGCATGGTATCTAGAGTTATTCCAGTATTTTAGCAGTTGTCTATATCTTAAGAAGAGACTGACACATCATGGTTTGCATCATGATGTTTATTTTCATGGACTTGGGAAAAGATCAATGTTTGATGCAAAGCTTTACGAATTTACTTTCTTTTTGTTAGGTCTTTTATTATCATCTGGCTAAGGAGTGGAGTGTGCCTGTAACACATTGAGAAATGCTGTCACTACTGTTGTTAACCAAAAAAGGATCCAGACAGCACTGTACTGCAGGCAACCTCCTCCTGTAGCTACAGCCCTGTTTGCAGCAATGCCTTGTCTCCTCTGCCTGGCAGCATGGAGCAAGGTTTAAGAATGGCTGCAGTGCCTTGAGCACCCTGAGCCTCTCCTGAGGACTCTTCCATCTCATAACAAGACTAAAACAAAAAATTCAACTTGGTAAAAAGCAACTCTTTTCACTTAGCTCCTACGGAATTCAGGCAGGCAGTGTCACGCTATGCACAGCTCAGAGGTGGAAAATGACTGCACTCCCTGATGCTCCTCATTTCTAATCCTCCTTCCCTCCTGCCTTCCCCATGCACTAGCACGTGCCATGCTTGATGAAGAAAGTCACATCTCCTGGTGGCTCTGCCCCATGCAACATCTTTCTCCTTCCCCAGGGCTGCACCTAGCCCCTACCCCTCTGCTCTGCACCAGCAGGGCATCTCTTCTCACCGCTGAATAAAAGTTCTGTGGGAGGATGGTGGAGGAGGGGGCTGCCTGCCCGCAGGTTTTGCTGACAGCCTCGGATGCACAGGCTGCCTCTTTGCGGCCATCTGCATGGGGAGGCTGCGGCAGATGGGGCTTTGGAGCTCACAGCTGTTGCAGACGGCAACACGCATTTGGTTGAGCACATTTCCTCAAGCCTCAGCTACTTGTCTGGTCACTGCTGTTAGTTTAGGCCTTGTCTAGACTAGGAATATTTAGAAGTACAAGCAGGAAAAAAACGCACCTTTTCCTATTCCATGCAAAGGTGGGGGCTACCAAGCCACCCTCTGGCTTGCTCAGCGTGCGAGAGATGCTCTTCAGGAGAAAACAAGCATCTGGCTTGGTTGACTGGAGCACAGACAGATGGCAATATTGTTGGTTGTGGTGTTTTTTTTTTTTTAAAATTGATTCAGTCTCAGCTTTTTTTATTCAGAGAAGACTGTATGGATCTTGGCAAATGGATACCATTCTGTACAATTTTTCGTTTATTAAAGTGGCTAGGTATCTTTACCGATCAGTCTTGGGAGTTCAGCTTTCCTTACAGAATCGTTCATTGTGCTGCTTTCTTGGAGACACTCATTGGTGAAAGCGTTGATATAAAACCAGGAAGATGTTTTTTGAATTTCCGTGCAGCTAGGACTGCTGTCCGTGACTAGAGTTGAGAATGTATTATGCTTCTCACTTCCAGACCTTAAATGTTAGGTTTAAATTTTCCATCCTGGGAAGAATGTCAGTTAAAAAACTCAGTAATTTTTGAGAATGATGGTTGAGAAAAATGCCAAAGACTTTTTTTTTTTTTAAAAGGTTTTTAATACTTCTGTCCTTTGAGACCAGGGACTGAGGTTTGTCATGGGAGACATCTTTGTATCAGGAGCACGACTTCTGTCGTTTCTATGGAAATAAAATATAGTTTGGCCAAGTCTTAGGCCTTTGAAAAGTGTAGCTTCTGGACTGAAGTAACAGTGTGCAGACACTTTGAAATGTAATTTTCATCTATAAATGGGAATAATAATTGTTCTTTATTTCTAGTTTCCTTTTTTTGTCATCCTACATGAAAATGTGAGATCTTTGTGGGACAGGTCATTTCACATCACGAACATTTAACAAGACAGTGTAGCAGAACTGTGTTAGTGTTATATGATAACAAATATTCCTCCCTTAAAAATAGTATACTGCACTGCAATAATTTCTTTTTTCCAAAATAGGAATGAAGAACAAAAAAAATCAGTGATTTTAGCCACGTGTCACTATCTTGAAATAATACCTGAATTATTGATTTCCATAGGGAATAGTAAATATTTAAGCAATAAACTTCAATCTTTTGTACCAAAATGGACAAGAATTTTTCATTATCTTCTGTGATATTTGACCATGCTCAGGAAGATTTTTCATTAAGATGATTCACATAATTGGTTAGATAAATATTGAGTGCACTGGCAGATAAGCATTTTCTGTAGTTAGCCCAAGCATTTTACAGTATAACATCAGTTTTTTTAAGATATTAGCCAAAAGAATCAGAGATACAACAAAGCCTGAAGTAGCTCAACTTTTATCTGGAAAAAACATATCATTGTTTCCAATTCAACACTGTTGAGAAGCCATTAAAACATTAGGCCTTTCCTTAGCCAAACTTAAGAAAACTTTCATAATGTAATTGAGAGTGGGGTGAAACTTTCCTGAGAATGTTTCCAGCTGGGAAGGACTCAGGATATCATTCCTGACCTGAACGGAAGCCTCATCCACTCAAATTTTACACAAAGTGTGCACTCAGAGGCCCTGCAAACTTGGGGACTTCTGTCAGTCGTATGTTAAATAACAACAAACCCCATCACTCTTACCCAACCCCTCAGTAATTCATATGCTGTAATTCCTAGTGACCACCAGTCTACTGGGTATGAATATCCTGAACCTCCATCCATGAAGGCCTGGAACACTTCTGGAGCTAAAACAATAAAGCAAACAAAACAAAACCCGTTACATTAAGGTTAGACTATGGATCATTAGTGTTGACAGCTGAAAACTGAATCAGAATGCAATTAACTGGAATTAAATACATTTGTAAGTGCAGTATTTTTGGGATGCAGTTTCAGTGCTTTGGTTTGCTGTCAACAAGTGACCTTCACTCGTCAGCATTTTTCAGAAGTCAGTAATTTTACACATGAATTCTTTCCTCATCCATTTAAGTTTTATGTTACATGAAGAAAGTTATTAATAGGAGGGGAATTCCTGAACTAAAGTGTGACTTGGAATATTTAGGGTAATGCAAATATTTCATGGGACAAATAGCTGCAGGCAAGATGGTTCTTTGTGACTGGTGGAAGTGTTGAACATGGTAAGTCTCATCCTTATTCTACATTTCGATAGAATTACTCAGGTGGGTTTTAAAAGTATTCGACACAGGAAAATGGTAATTAAATACAAATCCCGACACCAACTGCTGTGAGAAACTCTGTCATGAGTAGAAACAAACGTACTGTAAATAAAGTAATTAATTCCATCAAAATAACTTTGCTGAGGGAAAAAGAAAAATCTTTTCAAAACAAGGATTTAATTGGCCAACTTCAGCCAGGAAAACATACAAAATAATGTCACTGTAGATTTTTTAGAAAACTTTATATAAATAAGAGAGGATATGAAATGAAATGAAACAAAATGAAATGAAACTAAATGAAATGTCAGTCATGTTTTCCTAATTATTTCACAGCATAATCTCAGTACACTTTGTGAAAACAACACTTTCCCTGGGGATTTTCTAAACACTATCACCAACTGTAACATTGGGCTAGATTGCAATGACCACATGAGCCTCTTCTGGCCACGATGCTGAGTCTAATGTTCCGCGTTATCACCTGATTACCATCGCATCACTTTCTAATGGGCATACTGCAATGAATAACGTAATCTGGTCACACTTACTTCAGACTGGCAGTTTGGGATTTGACTGTGTATGGCATTTAGAGAAGCACTATTAAAGGAAAGGCAGTTTTTTGCAGCCCCTGCATTACGGATGGCAACCTAACAATTTACAACTCTGGACTTCAGAAAGTCTTGAAGAGTCAAATCTAATAGAAAATTTTAGCATCCATGAATTAGATATGGCAAAACCCTAATCTGTGGAACAAAAAGCAATGAATGGATGAAAACGGTCCTATACTCTTTGCCCAGCAGAATCACCTCTAAATACATTTGATAGGAGAACTTCAGGCACCTAAATAAGCATTTTTACCAGAATACCTGTATTTGGAGAATAGCTGACCAGTGGATCTCGGGCACAGGTAAGCTTGTGCTGTCGTCCAGCACAGCATGAACCAACAATGCCATAAAAAGCACCACACTGAGTTAGTTCTGTTCCACCTTCAGATAACAGCTTCACCTGACATGCTGTATCTTCAGATGCACTTCAAGTCTTGTTTGCGTGCTGCTAGGGATCCCTCTAGGCACAATTTAACATGTGTGCAGTCTATCACATAGATAGATAGAAGCTAAAAGGGTAGGCAGAACTTTTTTTGTGTTTCTTCAGTGGATTAATGCACCTAAATTGTACATGAGGCACCAACGTCATATTTTGAATATGACCATAGGCACCTTGTAGTGAAGGTTTGCTTTATTTAGCTACATTTGTTATGATTTTTGCCCTTTGTGCCTAGATGATGTATAATATCTCATTACAGAGAATAGCCTTTGTGGCCTTTTTACTGAGCTATATAGGTATAATATTGGTTCCACTCTTTGTTTTATAGCTTTAACATTGTAATAATGTGACAGATCACTATCTGATTTCTGTGAGGTAGAGATGAAAGTACTTTATTGATGTAACCTACAGTATTGCCAGAACAGTGCAGTTGTTTTGCTAATTCAGTGACTGAGTTACCACTTCTATTTTATTTGCTTGTTCTAAAAGCTTCAAGGTCAACACATCCCACATCAAGGAGATCAGCAAAACAGGCTTTCTTTTCCCCACCGGCCCTGGTGTTTTGAAGCACTCTTTTCTCACCTTAAGCTGATGGCATGTTTAGATCAGAAAAATGGGCAGTTAGGCTCCTGATTTTTAAAGCAAACAGTCCCTTTCCCCTTCTTTAGCAGTACTGTTTGCAGTCCAGCTGGATGCCCTCTGCATTCAGTCAGCTCCAGTGAAGCAGTTATAAGCTCTGGTTTCGCAAGATAGGGAGGTGACTGACAGAAGGTGCAATGTGATTTACAGTGTCCTACAGACAGGTTTTTTCTGAAGGTGAGACTTGAACCTTACTGAAGCCAAAATACCTTTTCCTAGTTTGGTAAAGCCAATAAATACCAATGTCCCATTAAGGTTGTGTTTAATGTGTCTAAAAGCCTTGAACTGAGACATGAGGTGTAAACTAAGGCCCCAGGCTGCACAGCAGATTTCTGGAGTTTGCCTCCTCATTCAGAAACATAACATGATTGTACAGAGAGACAGCAAACCCGCCAAGTGAAGGGGTTAGCCAAGATCTGAAGAACTAGAGCTGTAAAATATGGAACATAATATTAGCTTTCGCTCCAGAAAATAACTATGTGAGGAGAACCAATCTGGACCGCAAACTGACTAGGATATAAATAAATAAAAAAATCTGAAACTTAAAATTCTGCATAGATTTTCTTTAGGATTGCTGTTGAATTAGACTATCTGTAGTCTTTTTATATTTGAATTTGATCTCAGGCTCAGCTTGGACAGCTGTCCTGCAGCCTGCTGTGTGTAGCTTCTTCCAAAGGATGATAAGATTTGAGCTTGCCAGCTTAGAGCAAGGGCAACAGCTTTGCTGTGTGCACCCTTTCTACACACATCCTCTCTTACCACAACAGATTTAGGATGAGAAGAATACTACATTTTTCCTCCTATGCATCTACCTAAATGCAAAGATTCTGCCTGCAAAAACTCATTTATATGAACAAGAGTGAGAAAGCACACATAAGAATGAGAGCTTCCGATCTACTGGGTCTGATCCTGCAGATTCTTTTGGCTGAGAACTGTATTAACTATCACATACAGTTAGAGGGAAGGCAGTAGAAGTTTACATGGTACAAGCACAGCTTTTAAATAGCGAAGATAAATCAAGTAATAGCAGGTCTAACAGTAAGAGTGAATTTAAAGACAGGTGGAGAAGCAGTAGGATTGGTAGATCTTAGACGTTCTCACAGCTCCCCATTAACAAACATCTTTGACATGATGGAGAACTGCTTTGCTAGAGCTGCCCAAAAGAGAGCTTTCAACAGAGATAACCTGGTCCAGCCTCGCTGCTCCCTCTGCAGAGGTTGGCCTAGACACTCTTGAGGGTCCTGCTAACATGAGTCACACTACAATCCTGTGATGCTAATGAAGCTCAATCACCTCCTCACAACTTGTTTAAGTGAGAGGGTGAAGGAGTCTAAGGCCAGAAGTCTCAATGGAACCTGTACAGCCTCTTCCTCTCAACAGTCATTGTGAATTGCATGGGCTCTTCATCTCCACTCAGATATCTGGAAAACCTGTCAGCCAAAGTACTGGAGACTTTCGAAAGCCTGGATCTCAGAAACAATGCAGTCTTTCAGTTTGGAGATTACCCTTCATGCATAGAAGTAAGGCTTTGGTAATTCCAAAGATAGAGCATTTCAAAACTAATGCCATTCCAAGTTGGGACATCAGTGCTAGTTTTAACAGGGCAAGCAATAAAATCAGGAATGTTTCTGTGTCTTGTATGATAGTAAATGCACGTATTTAACTTCAGCTAAAAGTAATCCAATATTTTTTCTTTTTTACATCTATATTTTTCTCTTAATAATATACTTTCATGTCTTCACTATTTATCTGATCCACTTTCTTGAAAAATGACATACGAGTCTACCTCTGTGCTGCATTAAGTGTGCTTCAGTGCATTCCTTGGTTTTCCCTAACATATTTCCAATTAATGTTTTGCGGGTTTTCTTTTCCAACTAATAAATTAAAAAAAAAAATCCTTTTCAGAGCTCTATATTTTGATGCTTTTACACTGTATCTTTCTAGTAATGCCACATCATTGCAGACTGCTGGAAGTATGGGATATCCATAGTCCTTCCCGCTCTGTGGGTTTAGCCATACTTGGAGCTTCGTATAATTTTGTGTGAAACAGAGTAATTTATAAGTCAATTCATATATATAACTACTTACTGTAATTACCATAGCAGTCAGATAATCTACAGTGTAAATTATGTAAAGGGTGCATCTCAAAGTGTATTCATATATCCCTAAAAAGTGCTTCAGGTCACTGAAATTCAGGACATTTTATTTTGGCATCCAATGGTGAACCTGAATATGCTGTCCATGCCAAAATAGTCAATCTGAGGTCTATGACTTGGAATGGTTGGCACAAAGAATAGCTGTTATTATTTTTGATGGTGCATACTGGTTTAATCATAAAGATAATTCATTGGATTAAATCATAAAATGAAGAGCTTAGAGTGACTCTGATATGAATCCTAAATAGCACAATGTGGCATTTCTTTTCTGATGAACTGATTTAAGTTCCACTTCCATAGCAAGAAGCTAATCAGAGAGCGCCTGGCAAATGTGCCTACCACTACTCGGGAGACTGCCAAGTGTTGATTAAGAAGCTTACTGAGCTATTACTTATGTTGAAGCATAGCTGACTTCTGTAGGCTGCTTTGAAACTTTGCAAAATTGGCGCGAGGGAAAGTGAAGTGAAGTGACTGCCTTAGACTCTTCTTCAAGTGGCCTTACTACATACTAACAAGTCAGTAAATTTAAGCAATAACTTGCAAGTCAGTCTTGCAAGATTGATTAGCTGTAAAGAGCTGATTGTCCATGCATAGCTAAATGTTGCCAATGAGAGCTGGTCATTAATTCCTACAAAATGCCTGGTGCCAACGTAATTAATACGACAAACTGGAGGAAAAAAAAAAAGCCACAGTGCTTTGTCCTCAATGATTTTGAATGACGAATTTCAGGTTGGT